AATAATAAAAAGTTTAAGAGGGATATAAAAGTAAAAATTTAATTGTAAGGTTGAAAACAGTAATAAATAAAGTTTATTTATCTTACTTGTTATAAAAATATTAGATTTATAATAAAAATAATAGAAAACAACTAAAACAAAGGAAATAATAATATATTTATAATAAAAATAATATAATATTTAATTATGTTACGACTAAAATTTAACAAATAAAGTTATGTATTATTTTTTAAAAAATTAATAAAAATATTACATTTATAATTGGAAATAATTTTTTTAATATTTATCAAATAGTTCTCATTATAAACTTTTCATACGAGATCAATATAAAATTTTGATAACAAATTCTAACATGTATTATATGATCGTATTTGTGTCAAATTATCGATTTATTATTTCTAAATGATGGTTTAATTCAAAATATTGAACGATTGAGAATTGAAATTAAACCTAAATGATAAAATTAACAAATAAGAAGATGTAATTTTACAAGTATATATCAATTATTGTATATATACTTGATTTTGATTAGACTCATAACCAATTCAACCCGGATTAACCTGATCTAAAGGTTGACCTAAACCGAAAATCAATCGATCTGATATTGACCCAACCATAAATCTAACCGATCCGATATTAACTCAACCCAAAAATCAATCGATCCGGTATTGACCCGACCTGATATTGATCTGATCCAAAAATTAATCGATCTGATATTGATCCGAATCGAAAAATAATCGATCCAATAATCACCCAACCCGATCTGATTCATCGTACTCCCAAACTAGATCCGAACCAGATCCGATCCGAATAAAATTAAATCAAATTTAATCTAGACCCAAAATGACTCGATTCAAATCCGATCCGAATGACCGGTTTGCCACCTCTAACTTTGATCCTGCAGAAATTATATTAATATTCAATAATAGTCTAATTGCTCCTAAAAAAAGTCTAAAGTATTGAGATTTTGCGAATTGATCCAAAGCATTCTTTGAATTCCTAAAATATAGTGAAAGTATATCCTAATATATTTGAAAATATAATAAAGATAATTTAAAAAAAACAATTATTTATATTTTATAGTGTAAATGTTATGATTGGATACGTGAATCCCATGAAATAAAACGTTTTAAGTGGTTTTTTACTTTAATATAGTAATTAAAAAACTTAAAAATATATAAGTTAAATTCATTTTTTTTAAAAATAGCTTGAATTATTTATAAGGAAGTATCTATTTAAGGAAATTGGATTCTAAAGTAGACATTTAAAAAAATGAATTAAGAAAAGAAATTGTGATTTTGAAAAATAAAAATAAAATAGAAGTGGGGGATGGGCGTACAATGCGCCACACTCTTTCTGCTATTTCCCGATGGCAAAAGAAATGTCTACTCTGGAATCCAATTTCCTTCACAAGATTTAAACATTTTAGTATCTCTTTTGACCTTTCTACTATACTTAATATTAGTATGTTATGTCAAAATAATAATAATATTAATATAGTTTTCGTTTACGGCCAAACTCACGATATAATGCTTTCAAAATAAATAATTCACGAAATAACGTTCTCCCAAGATTAATTGATGAAGTAGGGTGAATTGCACAGTTGGTCGTAGGTCGCGATGCCTTCCGGGCGACCTACGACGTGGCTTCCGACGGGGGTCGTGTGCATGGGAATGATCGTGTGCATGGGACATGCACAACCCAACCATAGGTCGCCATGCACTCCCAGTGACCTCCTAGGTCGCCATGCACGCCCGGCGACATGGTAGGTCGCCATGCACGCCCGGACTCCCCAATCTCCCCATGCATGAACCGATCCTACACATGTCGCCGGGACTCCATGGCGACCTGCACATGCACGATCTCCCCAATCTCCCCATGCATGAACCGATCCTTGGTCGCCCCGAGTGCATGACACGATCTCCCCAATCTCCCCATGCATGAATCCTTGGTCGCCTCGAGTGCATGGCGACCTCCTTGGTCGTTGGGCGTGCATGGCGACCTCTTTGGTCGTTGGGCGTGCATGGTGACCTCTTTGGTCACTGTACAATTAACCCTATCTCAGCAAATAATATGTCCAAAGCATTATCTCGTGAAAAAAAAATCGAGAACATTATCTCGTGGAATCAGCCTTTCGTTTCGTTTCGTTTACTCTATTATTATTTTATATATTTCATTATTAATTTCCGTTACTAAAATGTTATGTGGTTAAATTAGAATTGCTACGTCTAATAAAAATTTAGAAAATTGAAAAATCAAATGAAATCTTGAAGATATTAAATATTTTTAAAAAAATATAAATTTTAGTGAAACTTGTATCTTCAAGAAAATTTTATTATATATTTTTCACTATACCGCATACTTATTTGGGTCTCTTTAAGCATAATTATTTGTATAGTTAAATTTATTAAATAATCTTGGTACTTAAGTAAAATATTTTCTCTCTCTCCAAGTTTCGGCTTCAATCAACTACGTTTTTAATATATGTACACGTTGTCAATTATTAAGAAAGATTTTAAACATATAATATCTTATAATCATCTCGAACTATTAGTAAAATTATTTGTAAAATTTATTGCGAGTATTTACTCGCTCGGAGTCTCAATTATCAAAGAGAAGCCTTTATAAGAACCCTCTTCATCCTTCCATCTTCTTCCACCGTAAAACAGATCATATACATCTCTCTCTCTCTCCTTCTGCTCGTTTAAAATGGTACGTTATATTTCTTTTACATTTTTTATGTTTCTTTCCCTCTGCTTTACTCGTCACATCCACTGCATCATGCGCATGCACATTTGTATTTGTTTCAATTTGGAGTGTTCTTCGTTTTCCGATTATCTGAAACTGCGTTTTTTTGGGTACTAAACGTTGTTTTCCAGTCATTAATTCTACGGTTTGATAAATTCATTTGTAGAATAATATATATTTTGTTATATAAAAGTGTAAAATTAACTCGTATGGAGTAGAGATGGAAGTAAGATTTTATGTTAAAGATACGAAGTTGTAAAATTATATTAAATATTTAGAGAGTGTAAAATTAGACCATCAATAAAAAGTATAAACAACATACTTAAACTATCTATATAGGTATTTAAAATTTTTAACAATGGGATCACATCCCCAATATCATAATAGGGAGTGCAATCCACGTTGATATGGATGCATGTCTCTTTTATTTTACTTATGTCTCATACTATACTCCTTAAATTGATTCAAGTAATACTTAACTTTAAAGAAAGTCGTATGAATCAAGCTATTTCAGTAGTTAAAGGGATGGTCGTTATTTTTAGAGGTCTAGGATTTGAGCATTAATAATGATAGGATATTTGAACATTTATCGTCAAATAGTTAAATTTTTAGAACAAATATTACCACCTCTAATTAATCACCCTAGATTAATAAAATAAACTTAAAAAAGAATTTGTTATGATGGTTAAAAGCTTTCTGTTGAAGAAATTGTTAAAAGAAAATGTTCATCTTATTTTCCTTTTTGATGGGTGGGGTGTTTGCTTAGGATTAAAATATTTTTTTATTTTTTATATTCATTTTTATGATCTATGTTTGGATTTATAACTATTTTTTATTATAATAATACTTTTAAAATTTGAATCTAAATTTTCATTTTACGAATATAATCTTAAAATATTATTAGAAAAATAATTGGCTTAGTTATGAAAAATGCATAAAATTAACAAAGAAATTTTAAAAATATATCGAGGGACATTTATTCAATGGATACCTAAAAAAAGGGGACATTTTAATATAATTAAATACATACCATAAATGTGAATTTAAATTTTGGAAAGTCAAACTCCTAAGACAAGTTCATGTTAGTCGAGGCTAAGGATTTTTTAACACATTTTTAGAATTTGTTTAGAGCAAGCCAATCGTGCACAATAAAAAAATTAGCAGATCATATTCCCATATGTAATGTGGTAAGGGGAGGTAGGGTAGTAGGCTGCCTCCAACGCCAGGTTGAGAGCAGCTTCCGTGAAAGACATCCGTTATAAATTACCTTCAATGGGACTCGATCCCACGACCATAAAATTAAGTGTCTTGCGCTCTACCAACTGAGCTAGAGAGACAATTTAATTATGCACAAGAGATACAATCATATTTCCAAAGCTTTAATTAGTGTGGGGGGTCACATGGACCGTTGTTAAATTCGCCCAGCCCTACTCATTTATCGTTATCTTTTTCAAACTTGTAGTGATGTTTCTGAAAGTGGTTCTGACGAAGCCATTTTCAACAGACGGCGCATCGGAGGCTGATTACAGGGCTCCCAATTTGATCCAAAGAATATTGGCTCTTTTCAAGAATGTACGGCCCGGATCTGATCTCACCCCCTTTAAGGTGTCTCATGCTCTCTCTTTTTCTTCCAATTATTATTATTATTTGAAAGAAACCAAAATGGATTAAATGTTGAATCAATTGAATTAATGGCTTGATTGTGTTTGTTCAGCTACCACCTATGTTCAACTTACCATCTTCAATGTTATGGAAAGCAATTGTTCTGTACCGGCACCGACATTCTGAGTCGATGTAATATGCCCGACAGCCCCCTCGACCGGTTCTTATGGGTAGTGGCTTGGAGCATATCCACGTCTCGCCCTCTAGTATTCGGAGTGGCCCCTTACAACCCGGTCCTCGGCGAGACACACCATGTCTAGAGGGGCACCCTCAATGTCCTACTCGAGCAGGTTGGCTTTTCTGTTGATTGCTGTCTCGGGTGACTGGTTCGTGTTCCTTATTTATCTCATTCTAACACGAATTTTGAATGCAGATCTCTCACCATCCGCCGGTTTCTGCTCAACACGCAACCGAAGAGCAACAGAATATTGAACTCATTTGGTATCAACAATGTGTCTCTAAGTTCACTGGTTGGTTGGTCTTCGTCTTTGCACCTATAACTGTTTGGTTTTGTGTTTAATGACTACGATATCATTATAGGTGCATCGGTGGAATCCGAGGTGCGAGGGAATAGGCAACTTAAACTTAAGCTCCAGAGTCCAGGAGAGACATATGAAATGAACTACCCCAACCTTCTGATAAGATTTCTTCCACTTTCCGGAGTTGATTGGACTGGAAATGTTCGAATCGGGTGCAAAGAAACAGGCTTTGAAGCCGAGTTACAATTTGGACCCAAGTCTTTCCTTGGCCTTAGAGGAAGCCATGGATCAGTTAAAGGAAAGATCTATGAAACATCAACATAGAGGATCCTTTTCGAACTCAATGGTCATTGGGATAGGTATTTAACTTCTAATCTCATGCTTCAACAACTGGCAATATGTATGAAAAAACCTAAATCTAACGAACTTTACTTAATGCAGAACAGTGACAGTGAAGGACAATAATAGTGGGAAGTTGAGGGGGCTATATACAATGCAGAAGAAGTCTATTCAGGGCTGAGGACTCCTGTAGTTAAAGATCTGCAGGTACATTCATTAATGAATGAAAAGAAACATTTTCTTTTTGTATGGGGATATATTGTTTTAATGTGTTTACTTAGGGAGTGGAGCCAACCGAATCGGCAGCAGTGTGGAACACGGTGAGCAAGGCCATAATGAGCCAGAATTGGGAGAAGGCAAAAGAAGCAAAGAACACAGTCGAGGAAAACCAGAGGAAGGTGTTGAGAGAAATGGAGGCCAAAGAAAAAACCTGGGTTCCACAGAATTTCAGTTTGAGTTACAGAAAAGATGGTGGCTGGGAATGCTCACCTACACGACGATGGGTTCCACCTGCTCCTATTGTTGTTCCTCTTACATAACCCTTGGTTAAGAAATATTAGAAGATTGAAACAACCTTAAGCAGATCTTATACTAAACCCCCGTCCCTCTTTGGTCTCTTAAATTATTACTCAAATTCATGCTGCAGTTGTGACCAAACTTACTTGTGGGCAACTATATGCTTGCACATCATTTAATCTGATGAAGAACTAGTAATTTTCACTTCAAACAAATTTTCATTCCATGGCTGAAATGCGTAAGAGAATTAGTTACGATTTTCCAGCCAGGATCGATTAAATCCAAACCAGAAAAACCTAACTTTCACAAAACCAAGAAACCCATATCGATTGTCTGTAAATACAGCCATGGCTGTACTTGTTTCTCTGAATATAACTAAAATACGTGTCCACACCCCTACCCCCAAAACAAAAATATATATTGGGTGCAACCCTGCACCCTGGGACCAAGTCATTTCCCAGGAACAAAACTTGTTGGAACACTTCACCTTTGCAGATTTTATTGGTCAAGATGACGTCACTTGACCTTCCTTCGTGCATGATTAGCTTGGTGCCTTTTTGCCTTTCCATTGCAAAAAGAAAACCAAATTCTAATGAATTACGACAGAAGTGTTCCATTATCTGAAAAACTTGAAGAAAATGATGTATCCTACAATACTGTCGACACGAACAACTAACCTTAAGATAAGTGAAAACAGCAGAACTAAGATGGGTAGTGACAATACAGCAGTTGCCTGTGACAATTGAAAGAAAGAATTTTTAGCTAAATCATAAACATCAAGCTTAAAACTTTATTGATCAAGGATGATACTGAAACCAAACTGTTAATCTTTAAAATGCATAAGAAACAAAGAAAAACGGGGTATGTTATGATTAAAAGCAGACATACCAAAATCCATGCTATATCAACACTTAGCAGTGATCTTGTTAACTCATGGCTCTTCAGAGTTTTTTGGATCTGAGAATGAACAGCGTCAGAAATTTAGAGAAAGCACATTAACGAAGATATATGCTCACAGAGTTGATAGATGTTCCCTCAAGTAAATGATAAACTTGCTCAAAATAACAGGTGATCCATGCATCCCGAAGTATCAAAACATTTAATATTTTCCTTCATGATCAATGATCAAGATTTACTCACTTCTATGACATACCACATTAAAGATACTTCTAAAACAATATCATAGATATCTGAATGCCCCAAAATTATAGTATTTTTTATAAGAAACACTTCAAATTGTGCAAATTGAAGGCATTAGATTCTACACCATGGAAACAAAATTTTACCACTTAATAAGCAGAACCTAGGTATTCAGAGAACGAAATGATAAACTCACTAATACACCGCAACATGTTGTATTTCTTGGACTGTGGTGCCTCTGATCATGCTTTTTTGTTTAAGTTTCCCTTCTGTTTTTTTATTCTTCAGTTTTTCTTATTTGATATCTTTTAATAGGCAGGATGTCAGATAAGGACAGTAACAGCTCTCTCAACAAGATTATAGTCCATGCACAAGTATTTTTTTCCTGAATAAGTTAGGAAACATTGGGCTAGGCACGACGAGTTTGTTGTGGAATTCGGGTTAATTTCCACCAATAATAACAAATTTACCTTGAAAACTATTACCTAGGTGACTAGTGTGAAAACGATTGTACTAAAAATCATCCCAAGGTAGATTCCCAAGAAAGAAGAGGGGTCACAATGGTCCCTCTTAAAATCCACTTTCCTTAGACAGAACTACCAAAACAAGTAATTTTAATAGGACAATAATTAACAACTATACCCGACAATAGCTATTAAATAGACATAAAGAGAACACCAAAAATTTAACGAGGTTAGGCTAAAATTATGTCTACCTACTCGAACACTACTAAAATAATATTTCACTAATAGAGAAAATATTATAAAGAGAGAAAAAGTACAAATAGCCTTTAATAGTGAAGAAGACTTGTATTTGTGGGATGCTAAATTAAGGAGGAGGAGGGCCCTATTTATAACAAAAGAATTTCCCCTCCTCCTTATACACAACCAATGTGGGATTTTCCCAAAAAACCAATAAATCTCCACCTTGGCAAATTCCACACATCTCTCAAAAATCCAATCTTCAGTAGTGTCTGCAAATTTATCTTTCAATTTGTAACAATATTGACCAAGTCTAAACAATGTTTAAACTTGACCGCAGTTACCACTTTTGTCAACATATCAGCAGGATTCTCAGTGGTCCGAATCTTCTAGATTATGACTCCACTTTCTTCTAGAATCTCTCGTACAAAGTGATATCGAACATCGATGTGCTTCGTCCTTACATGGTAAACCTGGTTTTTTGCTAAATGAATAGCACTCTGACTGTCACAGTGCACTTTGATGTGCATCTGTTCCATTCCCAATTCACCAAGCAACCCATGAAGCCAAATTGTCTCATTCACAGCCTTTGTAACTGCCATATACTCTGCCTCTGTAGTAGACAAAGCCACTGTTGACTGTAAGGTGGACTTCCAACTGACTGGTGCCTTTGCAAATGTAAATACATAACCAGTAGTTGATCGACGCTTGTCCAAATGATCTGCATAGTCTGAATCACAATACCCAACTATACACTGACCATCTTGTTTGTCCTGCTGAAAGACCAAACCAACATCTACGGTGTTCAGAATATACCGCAAAATCCATTTCACAACTTGCCAATGCTTCTTTCCAGGATCATGCATATACATGCTCACAACTCCAACTGCCTGTGAAATATCGGGTCTTGTACACACCATTGCATACATCAAGCTACAAACAACACTTGCATACGAAACCTTTGACATGTATTCCCATTCTGCATCATCCTTAGGTGACATGGATGCACCGAGCTTGAAATGAGGAGCAAGAGGTGTACTAACTGGTTTTGACTTTTCATTCATGCCAAAACGTTTTAGTACCTTCCTCGTATATTCTTTCTGAGACAAACAAAGCCTTCCCAATTTCTTATCCCTTGATATCTCCATGCCTAGGATCTTCTTCGCTTCACCAAGATCTTTCATCTCAAATTCCCTGTTCAATTCAGTCTTTAGTTTCGCAATTTCTGTCTGACTCCTGGAAGCTATCAGCATATCATCAACATAAAGAAGATATATATAGGATCCGACTTGTAGCTTGCGTAAATACACACAATTATCATATTTGCTTCTTGTGTACTTCTGCCCTATCATAAACTTGTCAAATCGCTTGTACCACTACCTTGGAGATTGCTTCAATCCGTACAACGATTTTTCTAATTTGCACACCATCTCTTCTTTTTCAGCAACTTTGAATCCATCTAGCTGAGTCATGTAGATTTCCTCATCTAAGTCTCCATGTAAAAAATACAGTTTTTACATCCATCTGAACTAGTTCCAAATCCAATTGTGCTACCAAAACCAACAAAATTCTGATGGAGGAATGTTTTACAACTGGAGAAAATACTTCATTATAATCAACTCCCTTCGTTTGAGCGTAGCCTTTAGCCACCAATCTTGCTTTGTAGCGGATGTTATTCTTGTCAGGAAATCCATCTTTCTTTACATATACCCACTTGCACCCAATTGCCTTCTTTCCCTTCAGAAGACTAGTTAGTTTCCACGTCTGATTCTTTTGAAGGGATTGCATTTTCTTCATTCATGACGATCCTCCACTTTTTATGTTCTGAACTTTGGACTGCTTCATTAAAAGTGGTAGGAACGTCATCAATTGCAATTGGTGATGCAAAAGAGACCATATCAGCATAACGAGCAGGTTGTCTAATGATCCTCTTTCCCTTTCTGAGTGCAATTGATTCATGTTGCTGTGGAGGTTCTTGGGTCTGAACCTCTTCTTCATCTGACTCTTCTTCTACCATAGGAGAGCCAACATCAGTTTCTTTACTGGCTGGGTCAATTCTGCTTCCTTCAAACTCTACCTGTTTAGGAGTTTCATTTGTCTGCTCCAATTTTTCTGAAGTCACCTTTCTCAACATGGTAGATTCATCAAAGGTAACATCCCTGCTGAAGATTATTTTATTTGTTTCTGGACACCAAAGACGATAGTCTTTCACACCATAGGTAATCCCCATAAAGATTGCCTTCTTTGCACTTGGATCCAGCTTTGACTCCTTAACATGGTAGTATGCAGTAGAACTAAACACATTTAAGGAATCATAATTTGTAGCAGGTTCTATAAACCATTTCTCTAATGGTGTTTTACCACTAATAGCAGTCGATGGTAAGCGGTTGACAAGGTGATAGCCCAAAATTCTTTGCCTAACCCAGCATTAGACAACATACACCGAACCTTCTCCACTAATGTCCGGTTCATACGCTCTGCCACCCCATTATGTTGTGGTATAGATCTGACAATGAAATACCTGACAATACCTTTTTTTTCACAGACTTTCAGAAATGGATCATTTTTGTACTCTCCACCATTGTTTGTACGGCGACGTTTGATTTTTCTGCCTGTTTGAGTCTCCCCCATCTTTTTTCATTTAAGGAAAAATCCTAGCACCTCATCTTTTGTCTTCATTGTATACACCCAAACTCTCCGGGAAAAATCATCAACAAAGGTGACATAATAGTGTGTTCCTCCCAATGAAGTTGTCTTGGAAGGCCCCCATACATCTAAATGAATATAATCCAAAATACCTTTAGTATCATGGATTGCTGTTCCAAATTTCACCCTCGTCTTCTTCCCTTTGATGCAATGCTCACAAAAAAGCTAATTTGCAATCCCGAGCACCCTTCAATAATCCTTGATCTATCAGCAATTTCAAGGATTTTTCACCAACATGCCTCAAGCGCATATGCCATAACCTGGTTGCTTCTGACTCCTATTCATCAGTAGAAGCTGCCACTGCTGCTGTCCCAACAATTGTACTACCCAGAAAGTAATACACATTGTTTCTTTTCCGGATTTCCTTCATTACCACCAGTGCACCAGAGATAATCCTCATAATCCCATCTTTTGCCCTCACTTCTAAACCTTTTGACTCTAAGATTCATACAGATATGAGATTTCTCATTAAATCTGGTACATAATGAACACATGTTAAGGTTCTGATTGATCCATCCTGATTCCTCAAGCGAATTGAACCAATCCCAAGTGTGTCAAGAGGAGAATTATTTATTGTGTAAGCAATTTCACATTTTAGTTCTTTAAAATCAAAGAATCATTCTCTATTGGGGGTCATATGGTGGCTACAAGCTGAATCTAACATCCATGAACCGATCTGGTTGATGGCGTAGCAGCGAATGCGAAATCTGAATCTGTATCATCATACTCGACCACATTTGATTCTGAGACAGCCTTTTCTCTTTCAGGTTTGCCTTTATTCTTTAGCCTGGGACATTCTTTCTTCCAGTGCATTTTTTCTCGACAAAAGGCACATTCATATTTGCTGAATCTGGACTTTGACTTCAATCTCCCTCTCCTTCCTTTATTCTGACTCTTCGAACGGCCTCTAACAACAAGAAATTCTGCTTCGACACTTGTATTTTCTTGTTTGTCTTTCTTTCTCAATTCATAACTATACAAGGCAGCAGTTACTTCACTGAGAGACACATCAACCTTGCCATGAAGTAGAGTAGTTTCAAGATACTCAAACTCATCAAGAAGTGATCCCATCAACATCAGAGCCAGATCTTTGTCTTCAAAAGTCACGTCCATATTCATCAGATCAATCACCAGCTGATTAAAGCTAGTAATGTGATCATTCATAGTGGTACCTGGTACATAGTTGAAGCGGAACAATCTCTTTTTCATGTAGAGCTTGTTCTGACCGCTTTTCTTCAAAAAAAATTCCTTCAGTGCCTTCCACAATTTACTTGCAGAAGTTTCCTTAGAAAATGCATACTTCTGCTCTCTAAAAAGACACGATCGAATAATACCAAATGCCAATCTATTAATCATCATCCATTTTTTCTCCTCAACATCATCTGGTTTCTCTCATTCAATAACAATGTCTAGACCCTGCTGAAATAGGACATCTAGAACCTCACTTTGCCACATGCCGAAATGACCGGTGCCATAAAAAATCTCCACTGCAAATCTAACATTTGTCACAGCATTTCTTGCGGATGTTTTTGTGTCGTCTGCCATTTCTGCTACAAATTCTATTTAATAGCTGTCAATGCGGAATGTCAATTAACTCAAGGAAATTTTTTCTAATGTGAAAGATCAGCCTAAGCCGCAACCACAGAGCATACTAAAATAAACCAAGAGCTCTAATACTAATTGTTGTGGAATTCGGATTAATTTCCACCAATAATAACAAATTCACCTTGAAAACTATTATCTAGGAGACTAGTGTGAAGACGATTGTACTAAAAATCACCCCAAGGTAGATTCCCATAAAAGAAGAGGGGTCACAATGGTCCCTCTTAAAATCCACTTTCCTTAGACAGAACTACCCAGACAAGTAATTTTAATAGGACAATAATTAACAACTATACCCGACAATAGCTATTAAATAGACATAAAGAGAACACCAAAATTTAACGAGGTTAGGCTAAAATTATGCCTATCTCCTCGAACACTACTAAAATAATATTTCACTAATAGAAGAAATATTACAAAGAGAGAGAGTACAAATAGCCTTTAATAGTGAAGAAGACTTATATTTGTGGGATGTTAAACTAAAGTGGAGGAGAGCTCTATTTATAACAAAAGAATTTCCCCTCTTTATACACAACCAATGTGGGATTTTGCCAAAAAACCAACAGACTTATGGTTGATATTATAATGCTCAACTGTTACAACACATAAGGCAAAGCAATAGAGCAACTCATTAATGTTAATTAACGAAACTATATATTCTAGGTTTATTAAACAAAATGCACGTTATTTTTTAATGCAGCCATATAGATTTGATACAGGAAAACACCCATCAAACTATTGAACAGGCTGTGGTACAACATCATTACCAACAATGTTGCAGAAATAAAATCTGAAGACTGGTGATCGCCGGGGGTAAAAATTGTACATGCCAACAAAGAAAACATTATGAGACATGTTACCTGATGATGGTATATTCTAGCAGAATTGATCAGTTTCCTGTAGGGGCATATGGTCTTTTTAGTGCTGGGCTTCAAATCAACTTGCATTGTTTCATAATAAGCTTTTCTCACCATCACAACATGATTGACATATGGCATCAAAAAGGTCTTGGATGCATCATAGACATCAATTGTTTTAGAAAGCAGTAACTGAAGACGAAGAGAACTTGTTATGCCCTCTCTGTGGTTTGCATCGGGAGACCATTCCTCAATTGTTTTTTTGTGTTCGGTTGCGTGGTGGATGAAGTTTTTAAAGTTATGGAACCTTTCTACTGCCCTTCCTATGTTACCTAATGTTTTTTTATAATTTTGGGGTAGTTTAGTTCCAAAGTCTTCTATTTGGAACTTTATTTCGGGAGCCGTATTGTGGTCTATTTGGAAATGTCGAAACCAGGTTTCTTTCGAAAACGGAGGTATTGATCAGAATCATTTTTTTTATGTCGAGGTATAGTGTGGTTGTGTGGTTTTTAGCGAAATTTCCTAATTTTCCAGTTTTCTTGGAATGCCTTGTTGGTGATTCGAGCTTGGCTGATGAAAGCAAGTTTTCCTTGAAGAATTTTCTGCCAAAGGTCTCGTGGATTCCCCCTCCCCTGGGTTTTTTCAAACTGAATGTGGATGGGTCTGTGACAGGGGATTGGAGTAGAAATGGTATTGGTGGTATTTTGAAAAATGATGAGAGCAAAATCATGGGTTCTTTTTCGAGTTCTTTGGTTTCTAGTCCACCTATTCTTGCAGAATTGAGGGTCATTCAAACTGGGCTTATTATAGAGACGGTTTCAGAAGTTGTAGTCAAATGGATTAAGTCTCCTGAAGCTTGTCCTAATGTGTTCTCTCAGCTAGTTAAGGAAATTATCAGTGTTGTAATGGAATATTGGGTTGCTGTAAGATCAGTTAAAAAGGTTGTAAATTGGGAGGCTGACGCTTTGGCTAAGTCAGGTATAGGGTAATTGTTGTGGTTTTCTTTTGTTTGGGTAATTGTTTGGGGGGTTGCGAGTTAGTTGGTGGGTGGAGTTGTTGTAATAATCTGTGTTGTAGTAGGTGTAATCTCTTTATGGAATAAAATTTATTAGGCACTCTTTTCCTCCTTCCGATGTCCGTCGAGGTACATATGTACAGTGACGATTATGAAGGAGGTTTTTAATGAGGCCTATTTTCTTATAAAAAAAGATTGTTTATAAATTTTGACCACTCGTCTTTGAGCATTGGGATGCAGTGTTTCACATTATAAAACTTGTCATCAGTTAATCATTGAACATACCAATCCACAGCACATGCCAAGGATATCTTAACAATCATTTTTAAACATGTGACTAAATGAGATCCTACAGATTGATCAAGTCTGAGACGTCTAAGATATGACATGCACTTTAAAGGTGCAGCAAAGATAGAGAAGAAGCTATTCCTCATCTTATAAAAGCTGAAGACACAAGGAAATGCAATATTTATAGTTAATAAATAAATAATAAAACAAATTAGGAATTTCTTTCCTTTTACTTTTAGTGGCCTTAATCCATAATAACAACACAATGAAGCAATTATTCAAGCAGGAAGCATTGTTATACAAAATCTATTTTTAATGTAGGGCTTCAAAGCAACTTGCATTGTTTCGTAATAAGGTTTTGTCACCATCACAACATGATTGACGTATGGCTCAGAGAACTTCACCACCTATCAAAACATTGTAATTGCCATTTATGGCCATGGCTTTGGAAATTTGCAAAATAAGTATGACCTTGATGCTGATTTACCTGAATGTAATGATCTGTTAATGCGCAAGCTTTGACCAAATGTAGCATCAAAAAGGTCTTGGATGCATCATAGACATCGATTGTTTTAGAAAGCAGTAACTGAAGATAGGTTCGAGATTGTTTATAAATTTTGACCACTCTTCTTTCATCATTGGGATCCAATGCTTCACATGATAAAACTTGTGATCAGTTAATCATCGAACATACCATTCCTTAGCAAATGAAATCCTACATATTGATCAAGTATGAGATTCTACTGTATGTCATACTTTAAAGGTGCAGCTAATCTTAGAGAAGGTATCCCTCATCTGATAAAAGCTAAATACACAAGGAAATGCAATATATATAGTTAATAAATAAATAACACGATTTGGGAATTTCTTTCCTTTTACTTTTAGTGACCTTAATCCATAATCACTTCACAATGAAGCAATGAAGCATGGTTATACTATCAAAGCAACTTGCGTTGTTTGATAATGAGGTTTTGTCGCCATGGAGTTAGAAATTTGCAAAATAAGTATGACCTTGATGCTGATTTACTTGAATGTAATGATATGTTACTGTGCATGCTTTGACCAAATGTGGTGTCAAAAAGGTCTTGGATGCACCATAGACATCAATTGTTTTAGAAAGCAGCCACCGAAAAATGTTTAGAACTTTTGGCAACCCATCTTTCATCATTGGGATCAAATGCTTCACATGATCAAACTTGTGATCAGTTAATCATTGAACATACCAATCCACAGCAAATAGAATGATGCTTCAAACATCGTCACACATGCCAAGGAAATCTTTACAATCATTTTTAAGCATTTGACTTGATGAGATCCTACATATTGATCAAGTCTGAGATGTCTACCGTATGGCTTACTAAAGGTGCACCTAAACATAGAGAAGGTATTCCTCATCTGATAAAAGCTGAAGACACAAGGAAATGCAATATTTATAGTTAATAAATAAATCCTATAAAAAAATAGTTAATAAATAAATAAAACGAATTAGGAATTTCTTTCCTTTTACTTTTAGTGGCCTTAATACATAATAACTACAAAATGAAACAATAATTCAAGCAGGAAGCATTGTTATACAAATTCTATTTTTGCACATAACCCTGTTAGGCAAAATAGAAAAAGCAGTGACATTTGACACCAGTGTCGGTATAAATTTAAACTACAAGGCAATAGAAAGAAGAGCATAACCTGATTGCAAAATTTCATCCAACATGGCATAATGAAAGGAAGTGATTGTAGAAGTTCCAATCTCAAACCAAGTTAATTTACAGTGTAAATTAATTGACTCATTTAAGATAGCAGACTAAATTCAGCAGCCAATAATAATCTCACTACTCCTACTTCAAAGGCACTTGAAAATGTAAAACAGCATTTTAAAATTCTGGTACAAACATATCTTTGCGAAATATGAAAAACTACACTTATTATACATTTTACACTTACCAAATTACCAGTTCTACTTTGTGGCTCTGTCCAACTTTTAAGTTGATCTTTCTTTTCCAAGGCCTGAATCATAATTTTAGGGAAACAAAGAAAATGACATTCCAAATTGGTTGATTGCAGCAATATAATGGTCATCAGATATATAAAAATATATCTTGCAAAAGGCATATTTAATCATAGAAATTAGCTTGTAGCATACACTACTGCTTAATGATTTTATGATTGTGATGTCTAAAGCAGGTCTCCCATGTTCATTCCAATGCGATGCCAGGCAGGACTGCATACAGTAAACAACCTATCATAAAAATATGTTTGCTACAAATATTGCCACTAACGAAAACAATATACCTGAAATTTATACATGAGAACAGCTAACCAATGTGGAAGCCACTCCCCATGGACCTGATTGCAGGTTACAATCAATAAGTCAAAGTTTCTTCAGAGCAGATGAACACAAGGAAAGAACAAAAACCACCAAAATGGGATCTTAATGATTGAGAAAAAAAGTCAACTTAACTCAATCAAGATAGACTCTAAACTAGTTTTGGGTCACTACAAGTTACGACTTCAGAAGGCACGTATAGTTGCTCCTAATTTTTTCCTTATTGTAACAACCCTTTTCTCTTCTGTTTCAATTTCACTTCCTGACTTTTCACACCAACATTTTTGCCAAAATTTCCTTCTCCAGCAATTTGAAAACCCAAGATTAAACCATTCTTATTACCATTTGCAATCATGTTGAACCGGGATTATGATAATATCGTATGCTTAATGCCTATTGAGTATTTTTTAAATAATAGAGCATAAGTGCCCAAAAAGTTGATCGTAGATGGAGTGATCATGTTATAGCAACAAGATGCTGAAATTTCAGAAATTTTTATTTTCTAAATTTCTTTTCTTAAATCTAGCACTTTTGGTTCAGCCGTTCAGGATAGATGTCAATATTTTCTTTTGCTAAAAAGATTAGGATGTAGGGTGGGCAAGATACTAAGCATTCCTATGAAGGTTAAGAGTCAGGTAGGAAAAAGTTCATAGATGGAGATTAATGACATCTCTAACAACACATCTAGGTCCTAAGTAACAAATTATGTGCAATAATGAAATAGCAGAAAAGGTAAGGAACCTGAAGGTAATTATAAAAATGCATTACTCACATCTTCTAATTTCTGTTTAAGGTTGTCAACCTGTTAAAAAAGCGCTCTCTTAATGAATACAGCAGGTCAGCAGCTCCAAAGTCTAACTACAAAAGTTAATCCAAGACCAACGAACTAACCTGCTTTTCAAGTTCAATAGCTCTTGCATGTAAGTTACTCATCTGCTTCATAGAATCTGGTGATGTTTTTCGCTAATAAAAAAATAATAATAGAAAAGGCTCTCTGTCAAGGAATTACACATGGTTTTATCTTCAAATTGAAAATATATCAGAAGAGAACCTCAGTATAAATCAGTCAAAAACCAACCTAGAAAAAGAAATGACTAATAACATTTCTCAGAACCAAGAAACAAACGGGGGGGGTGGATTTACCTGTAAATATTCTATCTCATTCTCTGAAGATTGCATGCTGTCTGATTTATCTTGAATTGTCGTTTCCATTTCCCTAATACTCTCATCATTGTTTCTCGGTTCATGCATTCTTTCAGCAATAGTCGATTCTAGGAAAACCATTAAAAATGGATGCAAGTTATTCATATGTATATATAAGTTTGAACTACGTTATTGACGTATATCGATAATCTTCTTATCTGACACGTTAGAATCAATCTACTACTTCTATAAAATGTAATTCGATAGGGTAGTCTTCTCAAGTTCATTTAGTATGAATGAAATACAATTTATTGGAACTTAAACTACTTTTTAGAACTTATATATATATAACTTTTTTTTCCTATAAACATATAATTCTAATGTTCCCGGATCGGAACATGTGTACCAATTCAAAAATCACTGGATATAGAGAATTCTGATAAGTTTGTATGAAAGCAAACTAATTCTTAACACTTAACAGCATTCTCGTTTTCCATAATCGCACACAAACGAAACAAAGAAAATATTGAAAAAAACAAAACTGAAAAAAATGGCTCTGTGCGTAAGAAAGCATTAATCGGAACAAACCAAATCAAGCAATAATCAGACTTCACAGTGTTAAAAAACAGAACACATTGATTATTGTTGGGTGTTTGTGTGTGTGTAGAATATGTAGATATACCTAAAGCCAAACTCTTGGACTTGAGGAGGTCAAGTTTATGCTTGAGAGCAGCATCACCGAAATCCGATGAGTCAACTTCGACAGTTCCCGGCGATGGTTGAGATGTAATTTGGGAGAAAATTAGGGGTAAAAGTAGTAAGAAGAGCAATGGCTTTCTCAAGGCCGCCATTAGAGGAGAACTAACACTCCAACGGAGAACGTGACAGTTTTCCCCTGGCCTTCGTAAACCAGACCCTTATCCCTTTGACCTAATTGCACCACACGTCCCAATCTATGCCCATATTTAGAAAATTATCCTTTAATTTCAAAACATTCTGATTTAATCTTTAAACTATCAATACTGTTTCAATGGTCCTTCCATTTTTCTAGCCATATGCTTGATCATACTTATATTACATAGATCAAATTTTATATGGATAGTATAGTTTTAGTATTTGTAATATGTATGTATGTACAATGGTGGATCCATATTATATTTAGAGTGGACAAGTGATTGAAATATATAACCATACGAGAAGAATAATAATCAATACATCTGAATAACTATAAGTGCACTAAATTACTACAATACACAATCGAACTAATCATTGAAATATAGTATTCGAATCTATTTAGATTAAGATTGGTACATGATTGGGTCTTAAAGAATTCACTAACACTAAACCAACTAATGACAAATTCTATTAAGTCCTATTGGCCACTGACCTATATACAACAATGTATTGTACACCCAAATATCTTTTATTAGGTTAAGAAAAGCTAAAACAATTAGCAATCTGAAGTGAAACTTGATCAAATGTCCAAAAGGAGCAGAACGGATACACAGATCCAAACTATGGTAAGTTTATATATATATATATATATATATATATATATATATATAGTTCAGTGGTTTCAAGTCCTGTTTATGCTAAAACCTTGGAAAAGCCAATGTGGCAGCTTCTTTTCCTGATCAAATGTTGCACTAGAACTGCTCACCGGAGTGCCGGGGCCGCTGCACGAAGCCGATGAATCGAACTCCCTCTTGATCTCCTTATTATGAATCGACTGAGAACTAGTACTGGAGTTCTTTAGCTTCTTCTTGCTTGAACCTCTGCCTCCAATTCCAATACCTAGTGTCAATTCAACTTCACTGTCTTCATCAGAGTCCTCAATGCTCATCACCTGGTTAGTTCTGGAGCTAGGCCCTGCTTGGTGGTCTTCTGCAACAACAGTTGCTGCTTCTTCCCCAGATGGCCTCTCTAGATCAAATCCCCTTGCTCTTGTATCACCTTGAACATGTAAATTCGATTCGCCAGTGGTGGTCCAAAACCTGTTGTTCTTGATATCCTTCTTCAACTCATCCATTAGTACCTTTTGAACACTATACAGCCGGTGAAGTTCTCGTACCTGCAGTTTGATCCCATTATTGGAGATTCATGGAAGAAAATGGAGAAAACAAAAGGCTAAAACGTTTTTCATTTCATCATACCTGGTGTTTGAACACATCTTCATGCATCAGCATTGTGTTTCGAATCGATTCCATGTTGTGTCTGAACTTGTCGAGTCCGGTTCCCGTACATGCCCGAAATGATCCAACCATCGAACTCATCACAAGAAAACAACTTTCCAAGGAAAAAAAGTTCAATTTTCCTTTGCTCACATCAACTTTTGCTAAATGGGGTGGGTGTGTGAGTTATGAAGCTCCCCACTAGGTGGAGACGGACACTAGTTGACCCCAAAGTCACCAAAGACTAATGCAACAGATCTGATTTAAAGCATATGAGTCATCTTCAACCTTTGCCAATTGGAACAAACAAGAAATCCTTTGAATCTACAAAGGGAGTGGGACTGGCCTTGTATACATAACCCTAAAAGTATATATGATGGACCCAAACTTTTAATCGGTTCCCTTTTTGGGGTACCAAAATGCAGGCCATATTTAGGAAGCTTAGGCTCCTCACATGAAAAAAAGTTGCAGCTATGATACAAGAGTGGGGGGTACCATGAAAAAATTGTTCAGAGAAAGTGCTTACGAAAAAGGAAATGGGATGTGGGCTATAAACCGACCAATAATGGAACACTAGAACTGACGTCAGTATGATATGAAACAAAGCAAAAAGATCTGATACAGTATTCGTACTGCAAATTATGATTAAACTAAAAAGATGTAACTTTCAAAATAAATCACCAGCAAAGACCAAAGAATCCTCCATGAAAGTAATAATACCTGCAAGAAGAAAGTTCCCAGATTTTAGTTCTTTTTTAAAATATTCCTCAATCTGCAAGCATCTCTTAGAGGAACAATTACAAGGAGAACTTTAACTATGGAAAAAAATAATCATGCTGCTAATAATTCAAGCTTGACAGGCTGTGAAATGTACTAGCCATGTGTATGTGAGAATTGTATTGTTTATTTTCATAGACAGAGAGAAAGCTGATCTGATAGAATATTTATATTGAAGATCATTGTATATTTTATTGTATTCGTATGTATCTGAGTTTCAAACTTTATCTTGAAGGAAGATCAAAGAAATAGGGCTGCTATGTTTTTTTATAAGTTAATCAATTGTGTGTTCTTGTGTATGCCTGTCAACATGATATTCCAAAAGAAGGAAAATCAAGACAGATGCATGAATGTTATGAAAATATGTTTATATTTACACGAAAAGTTCAGAGTTTGAGTCCGGACAGATTCATTTAAAGAAAATAATACTAAATTATACATAATTTTTGTGTAATATGATCCGAGTTCGATCAAACGATGATGGGTAACGACATTTTTGTATGCCCCTCAGCATGATATTCCAAATTCTTTTTGTAGGAAAAATCAAGATAAATGCACCAATGTTATATTTGGTCTTTCTGGTGTGATTGAGATAACTGATAATGATGTTGCACCAATATTTTCTACTATTCTGTCATTAATATGGTAATGTATGTGCAGAATAATATCTAGTCTTCTCCTGTGTGATTGAGATTGAGATTTTATCCAAGTACAAACTCAGATATATGTACATTATTGAGATTCCTTTTGATATTGAAAGCTTTATTGTCTATTAGCAGCATCATAATTATTTAGGCATGCAGCAGTGAAGATGGTCAAAAAGGCTTACGATTGCTATTCTACATGTCCTTCCTTGCCAGACCACTGCATCCATTTCTTTCTATTATTAGACATGCCAGCTTTATCTATTTTGAGGCAATTAATCAAAACTTATTTTATAATTCCATCCACATATGTATCGTTATACATACAAATTTCATTTATTTTATCTATTAATAATGTTATTATTTTATTTCTTTAATATTCAATTTGTATTAATCGGTTAATAAATCAAATATAAAAAATTATAATAGAACTTGCATTATTCAATGATTATCACATGTTCTAAGACCTAATTAGGATTTACATAGGAATTGTAAATCCTAATTAGATCTTAGGTATGCCATAACTCTTACCTAAATTTTTTGTAACAAGGAAAAACAAATAAAACACATATTTAAGGATAAGAGACTACATGTAAAACTCATGTTAACATGTATAATATTACAGATTGATTCATAATAGGTCTAAAAAGGAAATGAATGGACAAATGCTTTTGTGTTTCAATGGGACACCACTTGCCCGGAAAGTTCTACTGTACGATAACCTTAATATATGATTAAGAGAAGACGTTACCGGTTTTGTTATTACTTTTTTAATAAAATCGGTAAAAATTATCTAAAACATTATTATTTCTACCTAAAACATTAATGTTTTTAACATTTCCGGTAAAGTTCTTAATAATAATAAAATCAATAGATAAAACAATATTTTAAGTAACACTTTACCAAATATATTAACAAAATCGGTAAAACATCTAATTATAATAAAAAAACTAATAAAAATAATAATGTTTACGATAACTTTTAACCGATTTTAAACGTGATGCTTTCCCACTTGCCCAACTTAATGCCAATTTCAAGCAGGCATTTCTCTGGTAAAAGGGGTCCCACAAACCCAACCATTTGACGTATCACTAATAAGAGATTATTTAAGGATTGAACTGAGATAAAATATAGCATCTAGAGATGGATTTGTTCCCTCAAAATTTTAAATTATCTTTATTTGAGAGTTTTTTTTATATATTTTTTATTGATAATATGATTTTATAAATTTACCTTATAGTATAAAATGACGTGTCCATCATGATAGCATGGAAATCAAACCTAGGTCTGACCCAAACACACTTAGATTCTAGTCTTAGGCAGTCCAATGAGGAAGAAGCAAAAGGGATAATAAAGTGTGAAAGAGGGGACAAAAGAGGTGAGCATGCGATAGATGGTGGGTGATTGGAGAGATGCGCACGCGTTGTTGGGTTCGGGAGGCACAGCCCGCAAGATTGTAGGATCCCGTTTCCTTCACACCCGATCCGAATTAATCTGTCGAACTAATTCAATTAAATTTCGATTTAGTTTAATCAGTTAATAGTTTTTTAAATATTCGATTAATAGTTAATTCAGTTTGGTCAATGACCGATTTAATGTTTGAATATCCCTACTCGATCGGATTGATCATTTGCTCTTTCTCCACATCCAAACTATAGGGATGATTAAAATACTCGAACTCAATAAGTCCCGACCCTATAAGGATAAGTTTTCTTTTTGAATTTTTGGGGCTCGGGGCGGGACGGGTTATATAGTATATAATTTCGGAGAGGGACAAGACCGAGTTTAAGGTGAGAAACCATCGACCAAGCCCTATTAATTTATACTTATATATATTATATTTAATGTTTTATGATTTTTTTATATTATTTAAATATATTATTTAATTATTAAAACATATAACAAAAATATTTTAAATTATATTATTTTAACAATTCAAAATATAATAATTAATTATAAATATATTATTATAATATATATATATATATATATATATATATTTAAATATTAATATATTCGGATTGGGTCGAATTGGAGTTTTAATCTAAAAATCGAGGCAATTTCAGAGCAAGAAAAATCCTAAAATTCATCGAGGCGGAACGAGGTTCGATATAAGATATATATTTTCAAATTCAAACCAAGTTGTAAAAAATAAAACTCGAATAACGCAAAATTTTTAATAATTAGAATATTGATTTTTAAGTTTGAGTAGAGTCCCTCGACTCTGTATCATGAATATATATCACATATGAAAAAAAAATATAAAAAAAATACACAAGTATTGTATATGGTTATAAAAAACCCATTTAAATTAGATAAAATAATATCATAATACTATAAATATTTATAATTAAATTTAAACAAAAATTCAAAAATTCGACTTAACTCGAATTTTATAAACTTGACTAAAAAAATTTCTAATCAACTTCGCAATATATGACTCGTCAATTAAAATAACTCAAAAATTTTAGATTCGACTTACTCAACTCGATTGATTGTTGACCTCTAATATTTTCGAGTTGAGATAAAAGAAAGGAAAAAGTGATCCGCACCTTCCGGTGCCCATCCCTTCCATACTACCTTTGTCATCGATCTCCATCACAAACACAAATAATCTCATACGCTCTATTCTTATCCCATTTCAAAACCCTCTTTTCTTTCTCTTTTACTTTTTCTAAACCTTTTCACTCTTTATTTGTTTGTTAGACGAATTAAATATTCACTTTATATACTAATTTTATGCTGGACTAAGCGTTAAAGAAATTTCTTTCACTAAACTGTTTTTAGTCTTTAAAATTTACTCGTTTATGCTTAATTATTTAACTTTAAATTTTAATTTTATAAAATTGATTTTTTAATGACTCGAACTATTAAGTCAAAAATGATAGGGTGACATGAATTTTTTTTACCAGCATTAACGGTTTTCCGTTGACGTAAAAGTTACATGTTGTTTATTTAAATTTCTTGCACGAATCAACCTACCTCAGTGGGTTAAAGAATTATTGTTCTTAGAGATTATGGGTTTGAGCACCAGCAACTATAGTAAGGTGATTGAACATTCATTGTCAAATGATTCAAAGTATTTAAAACATACACTACCTTTTAATTACCTTTGCTTAACAAAAAAAATCTTTTAATTTAATTTTATCATCTTTCACAAAAAGAAATTTTAATTTTTTCTTTATGTTACACCATCTTCATTCTCTAGAGTTTTCTCCATCACTTTATACTCTAACTATTTCATCTTATTATCTCCTATCTGTAACATCCTAAATCAGTATGACACACAGTCGACCGTTTAGAATCCCACACAGAATCACCGGAGTGGTTAACCAAAAATTTTATTTACTTGCTCAATTATAACAAACATTTGTAAATACTCATAAGGAAATAAAATGACAACATTTATATAAAACAATTTACATTAGGAGCTCTCAAAAACATAACAATTCAATTTATACAGACCATCATTTAAAATAAGTTACGACTCGAATATACATGCCCTCTAAAGAAGAACTCGAGATGTATTCTGCTCTGAAATCTCGGTCTAGATCTAGACTGAAGAAGAGCTCCTCAATAGCTCCATATATGAATCTGTGTAAGGAAACAAATTTCAAACACATATCTAACTAGCTTAGTGCCACACTAACAACTAAATCATACTAAAAGTGTTCATTTCATGCTCAATCTAACAAATAAAATTGCAATAGTGAGTATACTCGTATACACACTCTCTACTCTATGGTAAATATCATGGTGCGACTGAGGGATTCTGCATCTCGAAACTTACACACCCCTCTAGTCTACCGAGGATAAGGCTCGAAATCTCTACATCAGACACAACACCTTCAACTAACTCACCCTTGGCGAGTGTTGGACCTTGCGACCTAGTTAGTCAGTTTAAAGTGCATTGCGCACTACCTAAGGATATCCAAATTTATTCTATACTTCGACACTGCTATCTTATTAAAGAAACTACCGTGTCCTGGTCGTTTACCGAGCATCAATCAAACTAGTTTTATGTCACACTAATTGATCTCGTTTCTAAGTGTGATTAATCATTATTAATGTTTCCACTTGAAATCTTATTTCAAACTAATTATAGAGTTCCTGGGAAACCTAATAGTCCTCTAAAAATTTCTTGAAAAATAATGCCAACAAATGTATGCTAGTACCGATACTTGTCATTTAATATCGATATATGTCCTTTAGTATCGATACCTCCCATTGGGTATCGATACAATTTTTAGGTTCAATGTTTTGAAAATATTCCAGTATTGATACTCCTATGGGGAGTATCGATACCTTTACCCTGGGTATCGATACTCTCATGAGTACTGATACCAAATTTGGCTTTGATGTTTTCAAAAATACTTCAATATCGATACTTACTCTTGGAGTATCGATATTTGACCCTGAGTGTCGATACTGCTTTTGAAACTTAAACAATTTCAAGTTGGTTTGAAGAACAATATATGTACTGTTCTTTCAATACGATACCCTCGCTCGAGATGGTCCTATTTGGACACTCAAATTCACCCACATTACTACTTTGAGATTCCCAATTGTTATTAGTGTCTTATGTGATCAATAAGGGTTATAAATAAGGGTTTAAAACATATTAGAAACATAAATCTTGAAATCTACCATGGAAATGCTCATCAAGCTTTAAACTCAACTCATGTGTTATATTGCATTTCTAATGACTCACTAAAGGTATGAAGGAGTTGTGAATATGTTATATGATTTCCCTAGCTGCTAAAGCCTCTCCCAAATCAATTAGAAGTCACTTTTTCTTTCCCCTTTGCTTTGGAACTCTCTCCTACCTCTTTCACTAAAGGTAGAAAAATATATACTAACTCAACTAGGTGTTGTGCACAATTTAAATTCACTCTCTATAACTCAAATCTACCCAAAATGAGCTAGAATCCATAAATTATCATAAACCTCCCAAAAATCCATTTTGGTTTCATGACTAAAAACTTGAGAATGGAGCTTAAATTGAAGCTAGAATGATGGAGATTATTTTTCTCACCTTGATTTAACCACACCAAACTTGAAATGTTTGATAGCTTAAGAAGAAGAGAAAAAGATGGAAGGAAGAAGTAAAAGGTTTAGTGAGTTAATAAGGGGAGTAGTTCATGTAAAACATATAAAAAAAAGGGGTTTTCAGCTTTCAAACCAATAATGAGAAAATTACACCTTTAGTCCCTTTACTTTCCATTTCATAACAGACCCAACAACATTTAAAAATTCTCTGAGCCCAACTCAAGCCCAATTGCTATTAAACTTGATCCAAGCTATTCTAATAGGTCCTTTGGGCTCAAATTATGGGTCTCGAGTTGACCCGAACTACTAGCCCGAGATTCGGGGTGTTAAACTATCATCCTATCAATTTATATTTGTTTCAAAGTCTAGTTAAAATTCATGAAATTTTTAATTCAAAACTATAAAAATGATTAATCTACAAACCTCACTGTCTGATCATCGTAGAATCATAATATATTATTCTTTTTCCCTTCTCCACCTCCCTGCCATTAAAATTTGGAAAAAAAAGTAATTAAAGAGAATTTAAAAAAGTAAATTTAAAACTTGAGCAACTAAAAACTTAATTTATCCTCTTCAAGTTGTGAATGCTTCAAATTAATATTTTATCTAAATTTTATAAGTTAAATTGATATTTTATCTAAAATTTAAAGATCAATTAAAAATTAAGCTAGTCATGCCACAAAATCAAATTAATAACTGTTCACGACTCAATAATCAAAATGTAATAAATCGATAATGTGAGTGGTTAAAACATAATTTTTTTCAAAATTGATAATCAAAAGTGAACAAAATCTAAAATAAAAGCGACTATTCTTACTATTTACCCATTCAACAATACAACTGTAGTAAGCGGGGCTTTGGATTTGGATTTTACATCATGTCAAATTATTGATTCATTTTAATCAAATTTGATTAAATAAAATTTTAATTTGCATTTGATTATCTGGCGAGATGTAGATTTTTTTTCATTTTTGGTCAGAGGGAAGAAAGCAATAACAAAGCTAGAAACTATTACAGTAGCTCCTTATTGGAGCAAGACATGACCCAACACAAACCTATCTTCCTGCCTTGAACTACATACCACAGTAACAGTAAAACAACCCAGGAGAATTATACCACACAACATACAATGTTGTCCCTATCTAACAAACTTTAAACTAATTACTTCTCATCCTCAAGGCCTAAATTTCTCCATTCCATTTAGAAACCAAACCTTCGAGCATTCAAGCCTCATCCCGGTTTGGTTTCTAAACGGTATAGTGCTGCTGGATTGTATCGATGTCCAGTCCCTTCAGCTTAACCACCGACTCGACATGTCCTTTGAGGGTGTGAAGCTCTCATAACCTATAATAAGCAAAGCAGGCCAAGGGAAAGACGCAATTTCAGCTATTACTTGTAGTTAAAGAAACATTTCATGTTGTAGTTATGTGAACTCTTTAGGAGGAATAAATGTGTACCTTGCAACCTCGGCCCGTCTCTTTGCCTGCTCGGCGATCTCAGACAGTTCTCTATAGCTGCTCTTTTCGTTGAAGAGGTTCGTAGTTTCGGGTGGTTGAAGTCTGTGTAACGTCCTTTGAGCAAGAGCCCATTGAGCTTCCCTCTCTTCCTTTCCATAATTTTTCTTGGTGGTGAATGCAGACTGTGTTCACCAGTGCCAGTTTAGTAAACCATAAACTTATTGGATAGGGTTTCAGTCTGATGCTAATATAGGGTGTGTGTGTGTATATATATATAAACCTTATTTTCAAGCAAGTTGAGCCAAGCTTTTCCACTTAAGATGTAACGAATGGTGAACTTCATTAGATCCAATGGAATATAGAAAACAATACTATAAAGCCATATGACACCAGCCCATCCCCAGCCGACTCTTTTAATCCTCGCGAATCCCTTTTGCATATACGGCAATCACAGTCGCAACCTACTCGAGGCAACATAATCGATTAGGTCTAGTGTAAGATGCATATTTTCATTGCACTCTGAATCAGATGACAGAAAAGCAAATTCTTACCAACTGTGCAATGATGAACGCTGTGACCAGAAGTAGTCCCGGACACTCAGCATAGGACCAGCGACGTGACCTGGTCACAAAAACCAGGATCTGGCTCACAATGCTCACTTGTAAATATAAAGCAACCATCATTTCATGTTCCCCTTCTCTTAGAGACCTTACACTAAATGTATCCTGCAGTGATAGAAGTTGTTAGAGACTAATCTGAAATACTTTTTAAAGCTTACGAACTTTCAGCAGCGCATACTGAGAAAAAGTCGTTATCATGCATAGCCCAGAAGAATATGACAGTCATCAAAGCCAAGTAGCCTCCGAGCACGATCCGGGTGGCGAAAATTTCCTTCAGTTTCCAGCTATCAGGTAAGGGAGATGACTTTACTCTATCCTTGGAGATTGTCATAATAGTTCCTGAGTAATGATCCAATTGATTGAAGTTAAACACTTTGTTTTAAGCCAGTTAATGTAATCTACAGTTAATAAAATCTACCATCGTTTAGAATAACAATGATAAAACCATGAACAGAGAAAAGTCGAACTTCCAGATGAGAGCAATGAACAAAAATCCAAACTACAGAAAGAACAGAAATAAAGTTCACATGTATGAAGATTAAAGTTTTCAAAATTTGTTTCATTTGTTATGTACTTACGATGATACGGATTGTGATGGAGACAGCATAGATCTGAGAAAACAAAGAAAGCAAAGTCATGCAATGCAAAGTGTAGTATGTAAAGTTTAAAGTAAGTTTAAGATGAGTAAATTACAGTGTAGTTCTTCATCCTTTGGAAAATAACTCTGCTAGTTAACACTGCACTGATAATAACACTCAATCCAGGTTCCATAAGAACAATGTCCGAAGCACTTCGTGCGACATCTGTAGCATCAGCCACAACAATGCCTATATCCACCTTTTAAAGCAGGGGCATCATTAACACCATCTCCAGTCATTCCACAAATGTGTTTCCTCTCTTGCAACTTCTTCACAATTTTGTATTTGTGCTCTGCAAAGAGTATCATAGCTAGGTGTTAAGAAAATAAACAAAGATGAGGGCGAAGAATTCCTCGCTTGCGGATAGCCAAGATACAAAAACCAGTTACCTGGAAACACGCTGGCAAAACCATCCGCCTTCTCGATCAACTCTTCAACCAGAAGGCAGCTATGTTCGCATCCTTGTCTTGACCCAACAAAGAAGCAGATGGGTACATGTTCGTGCCCATTCCAAGTCGGCGTCCAGTTTCCTTAGCAATGGCAAGTTGATCACCTGGACATAATACAAAAGCATAAAGTGAGCTATTGCCTCAAATGAGGTACTACTAACGGAATCGTGCATAGATAAACTAATTACCGGTGATCATCTTGACATTAACACCGAGATTAAGAGCCATGTGAATGGTTTCAGCACTTTCATGCCTTGGAGGATCAAACAGAGGCAACAAACATACAAATTGCCATGGAGTGCCAGCACTTTTTTTTCTGGGACTTTCTGTCGAAGTATAGCAAACGAGCATTGGTAAGGGAACTTTTCGATATTAAGATAACAGATTAGTGATTAGAACAAAATGAGTGTATGAAAATAAAATAAAACCTGTCTAGCGACAGCTAATGACCGAAGCCCACGCTCGGCAAACTTGTCTATGATGGAATGAACCTTTTTCTTAAGATCTTCTCTTGCATTGCAAAGGGCCAAGATCTGCCAACAGATACGAAATAATCACGTAAGACCCCATAAGTTTTCCTATATTATCAGCTGAAACTGGACAACAAGGTACCTGTTCCGTAGCACCTTTGCTTGCTCGGTGACAGTTTCCATTGGAATCGATGTAAGTCAATGCAATTCTTTTGTCCACGGGATTGAAAGGCAAGAATAGACCTCTCTGATACCAGCTCTTGCCTGTAAGAATATCATATCGAACATATTTCCCCTTAGCCTTTAGCAGAATCAAGAAACGGAAACATAAGATAGAGGAAATCGATATACCTTCTTAGGATCAGCAAGCATTCCGACAATGGCGCATCACATCCTGATTTTCAGTTCTAGAGGCCCTTGTGGCAAGCAGGACAACGTGCTCCTTGTCCTTATCCTTTACAAACACCTCAATCAAGTTTTTATCGAGCTCAGCTTGTTGAGTGTCAATGTTCCAGTTTATCACTACAGAGGATATCCATGCTGGCCATTTCTTCGATGGCAGTCATACGCTTGGTGATGGCACCCTGCTGAGACAGCCTGTGAGATCCAATGGCCATAGTCACAGACAAAACAGTAGGCATAGTAATAGGAATACCACCGATCAACAGAACCAAAAGATTGTCAATTCCATCCCTGTACTTGCGGTGCTAAATCGGGTACATGACTATGATCTCGACCAACATACCGACAGCAATGGAACAAATACAGAATTTCCAATATCAGTGAGTACCTTTTGGAAATGTCCTACTTGGTTGGTGCTATCCACAAGATGTGCAGCCTTCCCGAGAAGGTATGAACACCAGTAGCAATAACAACAGTTTCGATTTCACCCTGCTTGCAGGTTAAACCCGAGAAGACTTCATTCCCCGGATTCCTGGTCACAGGCAACGATTCCCCTGTCAGTGCGGATTGATCGATCTTCAATGGATCATCTTCAAGGGATGGCATCAATAGGGACAATATCTCCCAATTTAATACTAATGATGTCTCCTGGAACAAGAATTGCTTCTTCCTCAGTCCACTTGCCATCCCTAAGCACCTTTATTTTAACACCATACAAATCCGCAATCAATATCGATATATTTAAAACCAACGGTCATCAGATTACCCACCATGTGCATAAATATATGTAACAAGTCAAAGACATCTAGATAAGTTTATCACAGGTCTCATGTTTACCTTGGTCTTTGGAGCAAGACCAACCATAAGAGCAGCAGCAGCATTGTTTTCTTCAATGGAACTAATGGTAGAGTTAATTATCAACAAACAAACGATTCCGACATAGTCTTGCCAGTCCGAGGTCTTATTGTCGCCGTTAGCCAAAGCGATGGCCATAATGGCTGCTGCTTCCATCACCCATGAGAGGGGATTCCACATGAACCCCAAAAACTTGAGAATTTTACTTTCCTGATCATTCAAAAATATAATATTCCAAATTATGAACAATAAAAAATTAATGTCAATATGTATTGATGGCCATTGATTATATAAAAGATCAGAACTTTTTTTCTTCTAACTTGTTGGGTCCAAAAATTTGAAGCCTGTTGGCTCCCTCCTCCGAACTCAATCCTTCTCTGGTACATTTCAGCTGCTCAAACACTTTCTCAATAGGGATTTTCTCCTGCAATCACCTTGTTCATGAGATTTTCCCCGAATTTTATTGTTTTAATCATTCAACCAAACCATAGTTACATAAATCGCTCATTTGGCCACAATTTACGTACTGAACATTGCGATCCAAAACGCGGTACGAACGCGTTTGGATCGTTTCAAAATCGTGATTCGGTACATCATAGTTTTGCAACAGAGATAAGAGGAGATGTAATCAGAAAAATAAAGGGATTGGGGGTTTTAGAGAAAAAATTAGAGGAGAATAAGAGGGAGAGGGGAAACCGTTTCAAAACAGCTCTAGGCTGATGATCGAAGCCTTTTGGGTTTCCTTCTCAGGTGATGGAAGAGAAGAGAATTTGAAGTTGCTCGGGTCTGGGGCTGTGAAGACTTTCGGCCATGCGGGTGTGAGGTGTAGAAGATGAAGAAGAGAAGAGGTTCAAAACGGCGCAGGGGAAGGGATTAGGTTTAGCATAATTATGATCTATTTTTAGGTTAAATTTTAAAGGTTTTAGATAGTTTGGTTAAACATTGCCGTTTAATTGGGGTTTAAGGTGATCCATTTTTATTCGCGTAGGTTTATTTTGTAAAGGAGCCATGCTCATTTTTTATTCAATTTATTTTAGTACTTAAATCGGATTTATGCATATTAGATTTTGAGTTTTGAATTATTTTGTTCCTAAAGGAATCATGCATAATTGATCTTTATCTAAGAAACTGATACATCGTACTAATTTATATGATATATCGTACCGGAGTGATCCGAAAGAAGTCTACCCCTCATACTGAATTTTGGGGACCTAACGAATTACGATCCCGTTCCACGTTCTAGTATCTAGCGTACCGCGATCCATGTGACTATGAACCAAACTATTAGTGTAGTCGTAAAAATCTTGCCTGTGCTCATCTCCCTTTCTCCAGAGGAAAAACTTATTTGGGAACACAACAATACATGTTGTTAATCGGCAAAGTCAGGCTACAATTGGCTCCTTATGAAGAATGGCACCTTTCGGGATAGATCGAAAATCTGGAAGTTCTTATCTAAGTTGCCACCCTTCCTAAAATTTAAATTTTTGACTGGCAATGTAATGATATTTTGTCGATGGGGGATAACCTCTGAAGTGTCAGGTTGAGGGATGAGAAATATCCCCTTTGTAATTCGAACATTGAATCTGCTTTACATGCCATAAAGAATTGCCCAAAAACCTGCATTTTACTTCTGTTTCAGGACTGCAGGTTTCAATAGTGGACTGGCAAGGTTCATTGTACAAAGAATGTCTTGAGATGGCAGGGTTATCACTCAATCATAGGGTTTCACTAAACTTCTAGTGTTACTCTAAAATGTTTGAAATAAGAGAAACGAGTGGGTACATGATGGGGAACTCCAACCTCAGCGAGAGGTTGTTAATACGGTAGAGACCCTAATCAAACTTTGTGGTGCCTTCTCAACCAGGGTAATTGGGAAGATGATGACAAGGAGTGACTGTGCAAGGAAATGGACGAGACCACAAATGGGGTTTATAAAGATTAATATGGACGGGGCCTTTTTGCCCAATTTGAAAGAGGCAGCCATTGGAATTGTAGCCAGGGATAACCACAATATGGTTTTGGGAGGAATGACATGCAAGCTCGAAGCACCCCAAATAGTTGAATCAACCGAAGCTTGGGCATTCACTTTTGGGTTTCTACTTGCTATTGAAAATGAATGGAAATAGGTTATTGTTGAAGGCGACGCAATCTCTATAGTGAACAGTCTCGCTAATCGACCGGAGGACATTTTTGTCATCGGATTGCTTCTCAATGAGGCCTATAAAGCTCTTGCAAACAACTTTGATTTTAAAGTCTTCTATCTTAATCGGGAGGCTAATAAAGTCGCTCATACACTTAATCATTGGAACTTGTTGATGACCAATTCATTTTGATTATATTATGACAAGCCTGGTTGTATTAAAGACTTTGTCCGCCTTGATGTAATTAAAATCTAATTCTGTTTCGTTTAAA